CCAGGTAATTCTGAAGATTACTGGGCTGTTAATGTCAGTGGTGACACCAGAAGACCTCAGATGTGGGAAAAGAGAACGTGCTGAGCATGACTCTTTCATCCATTCACTCAACAGCCAACTAGGCACCTGAAAAATGTTGTTTCTTTCCATTGTGTTAGTTGTGTGTGTCTGAATTTCTGAATGTCTCAAGTTTAGTCCTGGACAGTGATTTGACCACGGTGCACTAGCCAGACTTGGGGGTCCCTTAGTCAGCTGCTGTCCCCTCTGTGGATAAAGGCAGTGTAAGATGCACATATGTTTTGAGCCAGTTTGGCCTTAGTATGGTGATGAGTATTTGACTGCAAGTGAGGAAACATAAAAAAAAAATCAAAATTGTATCAAAATATTGAGAAAATACTCCTTGAAGTTAGAAGTTACATGCCTGTAAATCCTCCAAGAGCTCTACTTGCTTGGGCACCGCCTGTATAGTTCAATGCAATGTATGCAAAATTGGGAGCCAAGATTTTAGTCCTGTGTGTTTGCTCGGCATCATACCTGGAGCACACAGGGAGTATTGAAGTGTTTCTTGAACTGCTGGTTGCATGGCCAGTGCTTGGAGCACCTGCTGCTGTCTCCCTCTCCCACCCCATGGTGGCCACAATGTGCATGGCACATAGGAGAATAGTTATTTCCCTCTTTAAGGGGACTGCCCCCTGGCTTTCTGTGTCCATTCCCTTTGCCTCCCCTATCAGAACCAGCTAGGACAGCTTGGTCTCTGATCCTCTTAGTTTAATTTTCTGTCATCCCTTTCCCACTTGGCACAGCATTCAGCTCGAGGCGTTTGAGAAGGACGAAGTGCTCCAAGAGTCCCAGGATGAATGTGTTTTGAATCCTTCAGTTTTCCAAGAGGGATCTGACTGCAACCGGCTAGACAGTGAAGGCAACTTGCTATTTGATGAAGAGAAAGTTGGCCGTGATCTCGATGTAGTTGGTGCTTGCTCCCAAGTTGCAGAAGATGAAATTCCAGGTGACCTCCCAGGTAGCCTTTCTAGTTTTCTTCCCCACACACTGTCTACAATGAAGAATGTCTCCCCTGAAGGTCGATCCTAGTGACATACATTGATTTAACCCAGAG